CCTACTATCTTTAAAGCAAAACCCTTTTCATTCTATTCCTGATCGTTTTTTTCGGGTTTTAAAGTACCAACGGATAGTCTTTCGAAGGCCGCAGTTTGTGCGGGGGTAACCTAACTTGCTGGGATTGAGTGATTGGCAAGCAGATTGACCAATCGAAAGAGGTGGTTTGGGAGCGTCTGTTGTTTCTGTGAGATTTAGATGTGAGCCCACCCTCGGCCAGCAAGTTCGGTTGAACTTTTGCAGCATGATGTTTGAATGTGAGGAGCATGTAGAACTAACCTCTGACCACTGAAAATTATTTAGAAAAGTAGTTACTTTACGATTTCGACATAAAAATAGAAGATGGTAGAACAGTTAGATAATTGACAAAAATATCCAGTAGGATTAGAAAATTAGCAGCAAATTGGAATAATCTGCCAGTCAAGGGCAGCGGGTTCAGTTGTAACTTTAAAACTGGAATTGGATATATAAATGATGAAATCGCAGGGCTATTATGGGAAGAGCGGAGGAATGGGACTCATTGTACTTTGAAAGAACTGCCACGGACACTGAGCAAATGGCCTTGTTTTATAATTTTCAAAATTTTGCTCATGGGATGAGGGCATTACTGGCTCTGCTAGTATTTATTGCCCCATCCCTAGTTGCCCTTTGGGAAGGTAATGGTGAGCTGCTTTCTTGAATCGCTACCGTCCATGTGATGTAGACAGACGCACAATGCCCCTAGGGAGGCAATTCCAGGATTTTGACCAAGTCAGGATGGTGAGTGGCTTGGAGGGGAACTTGCAGGGGATGGTGTTCCCATGTATCAGCTGCCCTTGTCCTTCTTGGTGGAAATGGTTGTGGGTTTGGGAGGTGCTGTCTAAGGGGTCTTGGTGAATGCTTCCCAAATGTTTTCCCTCTGTGACCCCATTTTAAGTCTTGAAAGTTGATGTGACCTCTCAGTAAGACCTGTTAGAGTGAATGGACCTCAGTACAGCTGTTATTAATTCGCCAGAGCTCCATGGTAACTATTGCTGCCTCAGAGCTCACAAACCTACTTGTGGTCCCAATCCCGCACTTTGAGAAGCCCTGCTGTAGATGGTACACATTGCTAGCACAGTGTGTTGATGATGGAGGGAGTGGATGTTGGAGGCAGTGAGTGGGGTGCCAATCAAGCAGGCTGCCTTGCCCTGAATGGCATCAAGATCCTTGAGTGTTGTCGAAGCTGTCAGGGTTCTATGACATTCCTGACTTGTGGCTCTGGGGCTCTGGGGCTTTGGGGAGTCAGCTGGTGAATCATTCACTGCAGGATTCAAAATGCTGGAACTCCCTTCACATTGTGGGGGTCCCAACTCCACATGGACTGCAGTGGTCAAGAAGACAGCTCATCATCTTCAGGGCAATTAAAGTTGGGTAGTAAATGCTGGCCTAGCCAGCACCACCCACATCCCATGACTTAATTTTAAAAAAAAGCTCCTGTAGTGATGTCCTAGGATTAAAATGACTGCCCTCCGAAATCGACTATCTATTTTCTATCACCCCCCTGTACCATGACCTCACCGTTAAACTATTATTTCCATGGTCATCACTGATCTCATCTGGGAATTTGATCCCCAACAACCTTCCACCTTATTGCCCCTGCAACCCTGAACAGCCCACTTCTGCCACCTTCCCAAAATCCACAAATAGGACTGGCCGGACAGATTCATTTGTTTCAGCTTGTTCCTGCCCCATGGAACTTATTTCTTCCTACCACACATCACGATTCTTCTGATGTCTTATGATCAGTTTCAAAACTTCCAGTTTGCTGGAATCTGCCATCTCCTCTTCACCATGGACATGTAATCCTTCCACATGTCCATCCCCATCAGGCTAGTCTGAGGGCTCTCTGTCTCTTCCTCAAGGGGGAGGCATTGGCCTCGGGGTATTATTACTAGACTATTAATTCAAAGACCCAGGTGATATTCTGGAGACCCAAAATTGAAATTCACCATGGTAGATGGTGAAATTTGAATTTAATAAAAATCTGGAATTAAGAGTCTAATGATCACCACAAAACCATTGTTGATTATCAAAAAAAAACATTTGGTTTACTAATGTCCTTTAGGGAAGGAAACTGCTGTCCTTACCTTGTCTGGTCTACATGTGCCAGACCCACAGCAATGTGCTTGATGCTTAACAGCACTGTGAGCAATTAGGGATGGGCAATAAATGTTGACCTAGCCAGCAATGCCAACATCCCATGAACAAATTTTAAAAAAGTAGGCCTGAACCATCCCTATCCACCATCACCCTTCTCCTCGCTGAGCTTGTCCTTACTTTGAACAAGTTCACCTTTAACTCCTCTCACTTTCTTCAGGTCAAAGGTGTGGCCATGGGTACATGCACAGGCCCCAGTTATGCTTGTCTCTTTGTGGGTTACATGGAACATTCCTTGTTCCAGACCTACTTGGGTCCCTCCCTACAATTCTTTCCCGGTACATTGATTAATTAGTGCTGCTTCCCTCTCCCACCCAGAATTGGAAAACGTATCAATTTTCCTTCCAGTTTCTACCCTGCTCTCACCATCACTTGGTCCATTTCTGACTCCTCCCACCCCTTCTTTGACATCGCTGTTTCCATTTCTGGGGAGAGGCTGGCCACCAAAATCCACAAGAAACCCACCAACTCCCACAGTTACCTCGACTATACATCCTCACACACTGCTTCCTGTAAAGACTCTATTCTATTCTCCCAGTTTCTCTGTCTCCATCGCATCTATTCTGATGATGCAGCCTTCTGCAGGGGCCCTTAGAAATGTCCGTCTTTTTCCTCAACCAAGAATTCCCTGCCATTGTGGCAGAGCCTTCAGCTGTGTCCGACCCATTTCCCGCACTTGTGACCTCATGCAATCATAAATACTTCAACTAAAATTTTATTTTGTCTATCAGTTTTCAGGATCTACAGTTCACTGTCAGGTTAGGTTTTTAAACCTGTATAAAAATTTGGATGGTCTGTGAATACATTTGAAAAGCCAAGTTTCTCAATTATGCAGTAATTACTATTTATAAAAAATATAAAAATGTGCCAGTGATCTGCAGGTGTTTATGACTTTCTAATCCAGAATTAGAAATTGGAAAGATCAATTTGGGTCACTCAGTTTGGGGAAGGGTGCAAAATGATCATGAAACCTCTGCCAGAATACATTTATGGTTTTAAATAGGGCTATATACCTGTATTGAGTTGCACACTGATTTGAAGAAATCAGCAAATCATATGGGGTAGAAGGTCGAGCAAATCCAAATGCCAACAAGGAGATGAATGCACATCCTAAAACTCATAGTTACTGTGCAGCTTTACTCCCATGCTGATCTGCTGTGTCCTAGATTATTAGCCGGCCTGACTGTGGGATTTTGACAGCTAGGACTCAGCTCTTTTCCTTTTCTTGCCCCTCTTCCATTAAAAAAAACAAGGGCAAGCTACTGACAACACAGTGCGGAGCTGGAGGAACACAGCAGGCCAGGCAGCATCAGAAGAGCAGGAAAGTTGATGTTTTGGGTCGGGACCCATCTTCAAAAATGGGGAGAGGGAAGGGAGCTGGGATATAAATACAGACAGGATAGGTGGGGCTGGGGAAAGGTAGGTGGATGCAGTTAGGGAGTGGTGGGAATTGGTCAGTGGGATGGGTGGGGCAGGAAGGTGGGAGAGAAGATGGACAGGTTGTGTCGGGTCAAGGAGGTGGGAGTAGGGGATTGCATTCATAGAATCCCTACAGTGTGGAAACAGGCCCTTCAGCCCAACAAGTCCACACCTACCCACACAGCATCCCACCCAGACCCATCCCCCTAATCTACACATCCCTGAACACTACTGGCAATTTAGCATGGCCAATCCATCTAGCCTGCACATCTTTGGACTGTGGGAGGAAAACGGAGTACCCGGAGGAAACCCACGCAGACACGGGGAGAACGTGCAAACTCCACACAGTCACCCGAGGGCAGAATCGATCCCGGGTCCCTGGCGCTGTGAGGCAGCAGGGCTAACCACTGAGCCACCATGCCGCCCCATTCTTGCAGGAAAGTGGGTGAGAGGAGGTGTAGTCCAGGTAGCTGTGGGAGTCAGTGGGCTTGAAATAGATGTCGGTGTTGGGGCGGTTACCAGAGATGGAGACGGAGAGGTCCAGGAAGTGGAGGGTGGTATCGGAGATGGTCCAGGTGAATCTAAGGTTGGGGTGAAAGGGGATGAACTGTTCGAGCTTCTCATGGGAGCACAAGGCAGTGCTGATACAGTCATCAACCTATTGCCACCCCACTTATCTTTCCCCAGCCCCCCCCATCCCCCCCCCCCCCTCCTTGACCTGACGCAACTTGTCCATCTTCTCTCCCACCTATCTGGCCCACCCATCCCACCGAACAATCCCCGCCACTCCCTACCTGCATCCACCTATCACCATCCCAACTACCTTTCCCCAGCCCCACCCCTCCTC